GTGGTCCACCAGGGAGACTGAACCATCGGCTAGTCGGCGCCCTGAGCCCGTTTCTATCAAGCGCTTCCTCTCCCCGATCTTCAGCTCCAGCCTGACTTTGGGACAGTTTTTCTCCAAGAGGATAAGACGTTAGGGCAAGCGCTCATCGGTACTGAGATGACGGGCCGGTGGGTTGGGCAGAAGTCTGACCCTGCCGTCCTGACCGCTCGGTGAGGCCGAAACCATTCGGCAAGTTCTCTTACGTTGTCCCATTTAACTCCCACGAAAGCATTTCAAGGGGAAGATGATGCTGTCATAAATAGGCGGTCCTGGCTCTCGGTTTGCACCGCTAATAGGTGGACGGTCCAGGACCCCGACCCACGTCTTTGCCCACCCACCCCCTGGTGCTCCGTGCCGCCCACCCCGCCTGGTTGACCACCTGATAGCCTATACCCACGAGCAGGCGACCATCTGCCAGAGAAAAGGGAATTCTCCTCCAAGACCCGGAGACCACCGAGGAGCCAAAGCAGCACCGAGGTAGATTCCCAACCTCGCAGGTCAGGACTGCAGAGAAGGCTGCCCTCGTGGACGGCAGGCTGCCCTCGTCCTGCCTGGGCAGGAACCAGTGGGAACAGCTGCTGAGCCGGCCAGGCCTGCCCTGCTCCGGGGAGGGCGGCCGCGCGCTCCCGTCCAGGCCCATGAGCTCAGAGAACGGAATCTGGGGTGGCCGGCGGTGACAAGCAGGGGTCCCCAGGGTGGGCGGGTGGCAGCGACGGTGCTGGCAGGGAGCAGAGTCGAGCCACCAGGGCAAGGCCTGCGTGGGGCAGAGGCCGCAGACCCAAGGCTGGGGCCAAGATGGGCTAGAGAGCTGACCTCGCCCCCGGCCTGCCCGTGTGATGGAGCGTGTGCAGGCGTGATGAGGCAGTGGCCGGGCCTGCTGGAGCTCAGCACCCCAGGACTCACTCCGTGCCTTAGCCCTGACCTTGGGTTCCCGGTCTGGGTCGGCTCTGGGAGACCTGCACACAGGAGATGGTCTGAGAACCCGCTGTCCCAGCGGTGACCACTCCTGTCACTTGTGGAGTGCTGCCGGTGACAAGTGCTCATCCACACCGCCCCACCAGGAGCCACCCACAGTGCACGGTGGCCCTCCTGCTTCCTGGGTTTCCCAAGGGGTCCTGGTCTCGAGCTTTCTCTTCCGTTGTTCCCAGAGCCCCCAGAACAGGGCCCTGGCCCCTGGGCTGTGGACCTGTGCTAGTTCGAGTCCCGTTGCCCGCCCTGGCCCTCTGTCTGTGCCTGCAGTCACTCCCCTCCCCTCCTGTCACTTGGGTTGCCGCCTGGACGCCACTTCCTGTGGGATGAGCAGGGTGCTGGAGCTCACGGGGGCGGGGCCCTGCTGTGAGGTTTCATCGTATGTTACCATGTGGTCAGGGTGGGGATGGGGCTCACAGTGAGGCCACCCACAACTCCCACCCGGAGCAACTGTCTTCCACGAGGCCAGTTCCTGGGGCCGAGAAGGTCGGGGACCGTTGCCCTAGAACCTTCCACAGCCATGGTACCTGCTCTGTCTGGAAGGCAGCCTCCCCGAGGGTGACATGTCCCTGGTGTTCTGAGGCACCCAGTGTAGCGTGTGCCCGGGAGAGGTCTCACTTCTCCAAGCCCAGGCCTGGCCAGTCCCAAGGGGCTGCCACCTCGGGCAGACAGAACCTCCCTTGAGCATTGTCAGAGCCCTGGGCTCAGGGACCAGACACTGCTAGGAGAAGCCTGTGGGAGCCCCAAGGGGGCCTTGGCGCAGCCCCTGCCACCCCGATGGGAGCGTCTCCCCGAGGACCGATGAAGGGAGCCTACCCCCGCTGCAGCTGCTGGTCATGGCCTGAGCCTGGGAGCACGTGGTCACGGGGAGGGCACCCCTGCTCAGGTCCCGTGGGACGGGGAGGGGTGGGGTGGAGGGCAGCGCTTCCAGCTCCCTGAGGGATCAGTGGAGGGAAGTCCTTCAGGGTGACGACTGTCCTTTAGGGGGACAGGCCAGGTGGAGGAGGGGCTTTGCCAGGTGGCTCTGAAGGGGCCTCACGGGGACAGGAACCAGCAGGGTTGCCTCTGCCCAGGATGGGCTGGGAGCTGAGAAGGGGGACAGAACCCCCATGGCCAGTTACCGCCGCTCTGGGTGGCCAGGTGATGTCTCAGTCACGAGCAAAGACCGTCCTTTCTAGTAACTGCAGCTACCTATGACTCTTCGTCAGGGGCGGGTGGTCCAAACCTCGCCGTCGGGTCCTGCGTGTGACCGTGACAGCTTGTGCACTGCTAGTAATGGGCCACTCGTCTAGTCACCGGCTGACTGATGGTGTGGTTGTGACGCCAGTGAGGGTCTGGCAGGGCCGCAGCCATCCTGAAATGAGGGAAGGCCTCTGAGGAGAACCACCTGCCTGAGTGCGAGAGACCAGGAGAGGGGGACTGTAGTTCCCCAGGGACTGAGCAGCGCAGGGAGTGTCTGCTCCTGCTGTCCCCGCGGGACGGAGCGTGGGGCTGAGGTCTCCCTGTGGGGCAGTCATAGGTAAGCTCCCTCCTCGAGGTCCAGCCTCTGCCTCATTTCTCTAGCCCAGGCAGCAGCCCGACCGCTCGGCCAGGGGCACCGCTCGGCCAGGGGCACCGCCCGGGCA